TCAAACACCAAATGCAGTATAGTTTCATGATCCCTGAGCTGACTCATGAAGAGAGCTTAGAATAGTGCCTGGCACACAGTAAGTACCAAGTAAGTGTTCCAAAAAGAGGGGAAAATTACACAGAATTATTCTCTCTCAGTACAACCACTACTACTCTCCTGTCTTTCGTCATGTACATAAACACTTCATATAATGATAGTAAAAATGTTTGAGGATACTGGATGATATCTCCTGCTTTTTAAATGGTCGAATAATAAGAATTACAATGCCCAATTACAATACTCAATTGCTACCTAACTTCCACCAGATAAATATATCAAAACTTAATTAAGCATGATTAAATATTTAGCTTGCTTCTGATTTTTTGCTAAAATATGTGAAATAAGTAAAATGTAAAAGATACAAACTTGATTTTTAAAAAATATACTTCAGTCTTGCCCTGGCAGGTGGCTCAGTTGGTGGACCATCATCCTATACACCAAAGGGTTTCGGGTTCTCGGGTCCATATGAGAGGCAACCAATCAATGTTTCTCCCTCTCCCCGCCTTCCTCTCTAAAAAAATCAATGAACAATGTCCTAGGGTGAGGAGATATATATATATATTTTTCCAGTCTTTAAAAAAAACTGATAGCTTTAGGGACTGGATTTTGAAAATGGATAGCTTCAGGGAATGTGATTAGGATATAATTTTCTATACTATTATTTACATTTCAATAAAGCTCCTCAGTTCTGAGAATATAATTAAGTAGTTCTCAACTTACTGGCCCCAAACCTTTGGTGGGTTTCAAAATTATTGCCATGGGTCCATGAATAATACATACATCCACCATGCACATATTATATAATATATGTCTCATATATTATAACCTCTATTTTACAAATTTCTGAAGATACTATGGTGACTGTTAAACTATAAATGGCTCTTGCCACTATGTAGTTTTTCTACTGACTGATACAGAAAGTACAATTACTATTTTGTTGACAATGGTTTAAAAAGGGAGTCTTCACAGTCAAACATTTGCAAACTATTGTTATAATGAAATTCAGAAGAAAGTAAAAGCATATAAGGTTAAAGGACTTGAACCAGATCACTCACCAGAAGAAGTACATTCAGTTCAATTCATTCAGTTATTACACTGCTTCATTCCAAAACGAATTTGAGGCTAGGAAGAACAATTAGTTCAGATGTACAATGAAATTAAGATAATAAAGGGGAAAATGTTAAAGGGGAAATTAAGATACTAAAGGGGAAAATATCAAAATGCATTCATTCAACAAATGTTACTGAGTACCTATTATTTGCCTGGGGATAGAGCACTGTTCTGGGGATATAGCAGTGAACAGAAACAGGAAAAAATTTCTGCCATCCTGAACCTTACAGTCTACCGAGGGAACTTATAATTTAACTAAAGCAGCTTTGGGAGCCTGGCAGGGCGTGGCTCAGCATTTGAGCATCGACCTAGGATCCAGGCAATCGGGGTTTGATTCCCGGTCAGGGCACATGCCCGGGTTGTGGGCTCCATCCCAGTCCAGGGCGTGCAGGAGGCAGCCAATCAATGACTCTCTCATCATTGATGTTTCTCTCTCTCTCTCCCTCTCCTTTCCTCTCTCTGAAATCAATAAAGATATACTTAAAAAGAAAAAGAAAAAAAGAAGCTTTGGGTATCAGTTCATACCAATTAAATTGAACAAAAATAGTAAACTCAAAGGTTCGGGTAGGGTACCAAATAGTCTTGGCAATGATGAAAAACATCCTTTTTCTGGAAGGTAATCTTATTTTCCTTTTTTTTTTTTTTTGTAAAACAGGTTTATTGGGATATAACTCATATACCATACAATTCACCTATATAAAGTATACAATTCAATGTTTTTTAGTATATTTACAGGAATGTACAACCATCACCACAATCTAATTTTAGAACATTTTCATCCCTTCTAAAAGAAACCCTGTTAGCAGTCTCTCTCCATTCCTTCCCTCCTTTGATAAGCCCCTACCTGACAACCACAAATCTTTCTGTCTCTATAGATTTGCCTATCCTGGGCCTTTCATATAAATGGAATCACACAATATGTGGTCTTTTGTAACTGGCTTCTGTCCCTTAGCATAACATTTTCATAAGTCATCCCTGTTATACCATGTATAAGTACTTCATTCTTTATAGCCAAATAATATTCCATTTTATGTGTATAGCACATTGTGTTTATTTATTGATCTCTCAATGGACATTTGAGTTCTATTTTTTGATTAAGCATAATGCTGTTCTGAACATTTGTGTACAAGTTTTTGTGTGGACATGTTTTTCTTTAGTGTATATACCTAGGAGTGAATTGTTGGGTCATATGATAACTATTTTACTTTTTGACAGACTTACGAATTTTTCCAAGCAGTTCCATCATTTTACATTCCCACCACCAATGTATGAGAGTTCCAATATTTCCACATGCTCACCAACATTTGTTACTGTTTGTGTTTTTTAGTATAGCCATCCTAGTGGGGGTAAAGTGGTACCTCAACTGTGGTTTTGATTTGTAGTTCCTTAATGGTGGGTAATCTTCAAATATGTAAGAAATTATGAAACTAATTTTACCTATTTTCCTTTAATAATTTCAGTTTAAACTTATTTCAAGGTAATAATTTAAAAGAAAAAAGCAACTATATATATTAAGATGTCTGTATCAGCTTTATAATAGGAAAGAAAACCAGTCAAACTAATTACAACCCAAATGCCCAACACTCCCAGTACAAGATTAAATGAATTTTAAAAATATATATCGAGTTACTTCCTACATTTCTCCCAGCCTTATGTATGTCTTTTCCTCCACATACACCACACTACTTGCTTTTTTTCTGATTAGGCCATGCTGTTCCTACCACACAGATGGCCCTCCCTCAGTCTCCCTGACAAAAATCCTTATTCTTTCGGGACTCTTTGACCATTATATCCCCTGGGATTCTTTCCTTGACTTTATTTTTCCCCTGAGTCTCTTTCTTCTTGGGAATTCTGGGTTTATCCTGTGATTATTTCAATACATAATCGTATTTATTTCAACAGGCAAAAGACTCCAAACAGCATATTACAAAATACAAATACAAATGACTTATGGACACCTGAGATGTTCAACCTCTGAGATGTTTGACCTCATCAGCAATTGAGTAAACACAAATCAAGATCATAACCGTCCCACACCTATCAGATTGACAAAAAAACAACAACACTGAAGTTGCATGTTTCAGAGTGCTGGTGAGGATGTGGAACAATAGGGACTCTCATATATTGCTAGGTGAGTATCCATAAGTATAACCAATTTGGAAGGGGCTGGCTGTACCCATTAAAGTTCAGCATGCTCATATCCCACAGCCCAACAATTCCACTCTGACATATACCTTGGAGCAACACAAATTGCTGGGCCTTATGCCAGGGGTAGGCGCCCCACTTCTAGCAAGTTTCCAGGTGATGCAGATGCTGATGCTGCTGGTCCACGAACTACAGAACCACTGGGTTAAAGGGAAAGGAGGAGGTCACTTGGAAGAAAATGCTTACAAGTGAGATTTATTGATTACATGATAAAAAGAAGTGTTATGATACTTTCCTTTGCTAAATTGAAATTAGCTTCATTGAAATTCAAACTATGTACTCAAAATGGGTGAATTTTACTGCATATAAGTTATATCTTAAAGCTGTAAAAAAAAAAAAAAAAAAAAAGCAAGCAAGCTTTAGGTAAGGAAATGCTCTAAGATTAGATCGGATATTACAGAGATGGTTGCACAGCTCTGCAAACATACTAAAAATCACTGAATTGCACACTTTAAACCTGTAAATTATATGTCACTAAAGCTGTTTCTTAAAAAGGTAACTTTGTTTACAATTGCTTAGTGCACATCAGCTAGTAATGAAAAGTACTGGCTCAGGGGCTTAAGGGATAAGAGAGGAAATTTCATTTAAACCCCAGAGTCTGAGCTAAGAATGGTTTTTACATTTTTAAAGGATTGTAAAAAAAAGAGTATGTGACAGAGGCTATCTGTAGCCCACAAAGCCTTAAATATTTACTATCTTATTTACTGGTCCTTTACAGAATAAATTTGCTGACCCCTGATTTAAACTAGCTTACTTGTGACTAGCAAAGTTAATTAAAGGAATCAGCTTTAGGAGAGAGCAGGAGGGAGGGGAGGGGGGGAGAGAGAGGGAGAGAGGAAGAGGAAGATAGAGAGGAAGTAGAAGAGGGAGAAAGGAAGGGGAAAGGGAGACAAGGAGAGAGAGGGAGAGGGAGGGAGGGGGGAGAGGGGGAGAGAGAGAGAGAGAGAGAAACATCACTGATGAGTCATTGATTGGCTGCCTCCTGCATGCCCCCTCCTGGGGATCGAGCTGGCAGTCTGGGCATGTGCCCTGACTGGGAATTGAACCCTGACCTCCTAGTTCATGGGTTCCTGCTTAACCACTGAGCCACACTGGCTGCACAAGATTCATTTCTTTAATGTAAAAAACTGTACATTGTTCTGAAATTATGTCCTTCTTACTTTTTTGGTATTTTTATAGCTCTACTTGGCAAAATTTACAAAATTGAAACCTATGACTATACTAGTTTTGGGTATATGTGAAAGACACGTTATTGGTTTTTAAAGTCCAGAAGCTTGGGAATAATTAATTCATAGAACATATACTTTTTGTCTGAATTTGGCAGTTTCCTGAGCTTAATTGTGCTGTCTGTCAGCATTATTATAAATACATTTTTTAATACATATTTTTTATTGATTTCAGAGAGAGGAAGGGAGAGGGAGAGAGAGAGGNCACTTCTCTAAAGAGGACTTAAGGTGGCCAATAGACATATGAAAAGATGCTCAAGGTCACTAATCATCAGGGAAATGCAAATTACAACCACAATGAGCTATCACCTTACACCTGTCAGAATGGCTATCATCAATAAATCAACAAACATGTGTTGGTGAGGATGTAAACAAAAGGGAACCCTAGTGCACTGCTGGTGGGAATGTAAACTGACATAGCCACTACATAAAACAGTACGGAAGTTCCTCAAAAAATTAAAATGGAACTGCCTCCTCATTCTTGCTTGGCCCCTCATCAATCTGGCTTTCTACTCCACCACTGCAGCAAACTGCTCTAGTCAAGATCGCTAATGAAATCCAGGTTGCTAAATCCAGTGGTTATGGCTCCTCCTCCTCCTGGACCTACCAGCAGCATGTGACAATCGTACCTGCCTCTCAGAAACATTTGCTCACATGGATTCCAGAGCACTACACTTTCCTGGTTTTCCTCCTACATGTAAGGATTCCTTCTGTCTCTTTTGCTGGCTTCTCCTCATTTCCCCTGTCACTACCCTGATCCCTAAATAGGAACCCAGTCTTCCTCTAAATACTGACCTCAGTGTTTGGAATTCTCATTGTCTACACTTTCTCCCCAGTCCACACTCCCATTCAGTTGCATGGCTTTAAATACTCTCTATAAACCAACAACCCCCTATCCTCTGTGCTGCAGTCTCATATATCCAACAGCCTACTAGATGCTGTAAACATCTCCAAGAACAAACTCCTGACCTCCCTCCAAAGTTTGCTCCTCCTACAATCTGTCTCACCTCAGTAGATGGCAGCTATATCCTTTGAGTTTTCAACAAAGAGGCGGCATAAATGTCCAATAAACACAGGAAAGGATACTCAACCCTACCTAATAGGAAAATAAAATGTAAAACTTCATACTTACGAGATTTGCAAAAATTTTAAAGTCTGATATCCCCGTGTTAAAAGAAAGTGGAAAGAGTTCTCAATTAAGGGAAATTCCTCCCCAAAAACCATGAAGCAGAAGAAAGTCTATAGTCCAAGCAGAATAAATATAACCCAAAGCATTTAAGGATATTTTTTAAATATACCTTTATTGATTTGAGAGAGAGAGGAAAGGAGAAGGAGAGAGAGAGATAGAAACATCAGTGATGAGAGAGTCATTGATCAGCTGCCTCCTGCATGCCCCTCATTGGGGATCGAGCCTGCAACCGCGGCATGTGCCCTGACCAGGAATCAGGAATCCAACCGAGATCTCCTGATTCATAGGTCAATGCTCAACAGCTGAACCACACCAGCCGGGCTAAGGATATTTTTTTTAAAACCTCACCTTGAATCAGAAATTTTAAAACTAAGAAAAGAAATAAACCAAAAAACACTGAAATGACAGGAAAAATGTTAAATGAACTCAGAGAAAAAAATGGGAGAAAGACTAAATTACATCGGAAATGAAGAATAATAACAAGGTGCCCAAGAGAGAATAAACTCGAGTGAAAATTTAATAAGGGACACTGAAACAACCAAGAAAATGAAAATGACTTTGTGGGGGAAAACAGAGAGTAAGTAGTGGAAACAGATGACAGGCAAAGAAGGAATAATATTTGTATTATAGTCCCTGAGAAGAAAAACCAACAAAACTGAACTAACACTTAAAACTATAATTCAAGAAAAATTTCCAGAAATAAAGAGACCTGAACCACAGTGGCTGGTGTGGCTCAGTTGGTTGAAGCATCCTCCAGTACACCAAAAGGTTGTGGGTTCGATTCCCGGTCAGGGCACATACCCAGGTTGCAGCTTCGATCCCTGGTCGGGGCACTATTGGGAGGCAACCAATCAATGTTTCTCTCCCCCCCATCTAAAAAATCAATAAACATATCCTCAGGTGAGGATTAAAAAAAACAAGACTTGAATAATATCAATCTACACACTGAAGGGCTCACTTGGGAAAATTAAGCTCAATCAATCAACTCTGAAACACAGCCTAGTAAAAACTATTTAATTTCAAAGATAAAGATAAAATCCCCCAGACCTCTAAGTAAAAAGAATAACTTACAAATAAAAAAAAATACACTAGCACCTGATATTTCAAAACCAACATACAAGGCAAGACAAAAGGTCAGTTTTTAAAATTTTAAAAATAAAATCAGTGAAAACAGGTGTATATGCCAGGCATATAAAGTTGGAAGAGGCCTAGTTTATTTCCTGGAGATGCTAAGTCTTCAGTAGATAACAATGATCACATAAGTGCTAGTACTTTCTGGTTCACATAGTATGTAGCAACTACTATCTCACATTTCTTACCTGCCTTTGAGGAAGCTGGGATTGCCTCCATTTCATAAGTAAAGAAACTGAGCCTCAAAAAGATCAACCAATCTGCTCCAATGAAAGACCTGAAACTAAAATCCAGGTTCTCAGACTCCAATACTAACACTTCCCCACCTTGCAACTCCTACCCTCAGAAAAATGACCCTGAAGGGACTGCCTGGTCATTTCATAGATGCTCAGTCAGCAGAATTGGACTTTAGCACACTCCAGAATAGTTGACATCCCGCATCACATCTAAAATTGCTGTCTAAATTTGGAAAGCAGCTTTTATGCAAAAAGCCTGGACTTTCTGTAGCCTGTAGGGCACAAAGACTACGTTTTATTTATCTTGATCCCAAGGACTGTGTTTTATTTAGCTTTATATCTGTCCTCCTCAGCTTTATATATAGTGCCTTTAAATATTTTCTCCTTCAACATCTGTGTAGATCCATTCATTCACCTAATTTTATAACTCTGAGATAGTTTTTAATATAATCTGGGGCATCAGCATAAAACTTCACATTTAAGTAGTGAAAGAGTGTGGGGACAAAGGATATCATAAAATAGCTTTTTGAATTCAGATATCTGCTTTAAAAAAAATCAAGATGCTTTTGTGCCTTGAAATTTTTACAAGATGACAATAATTAGCAACAAGACAAAGTATGTTTAAATGTACTTTTCCATAAATGTCTCATTTGACCCTTAAAATCACCCTGTAAGAAAGGTAAGGCAAATGCTCTACAATTTCTAATTCAGAGTTGAGGAAATAATCCCTCAGAAAACATAAGTGATTTGTTCAAGGTAATCAGGTAACACTGACTTCAAATGTCCTACTCCATGATGCCTGTGCCTCACCTATATAACCTTTCTTTACTAAACTGGTAAAGGTGGAATAAAAGATGAGAAACTGAAATGGTATCAACAAATAAGAAAAACATATGCTCTGACTGGTGTGCACAATGGTTAGAGCGTCGGCTCCCCCACACAGGAGAGGGTTACTGGTATGATTCCTGGTCTAGGGCACTTACTTGGGTTGCAGATTTGATCCCACCCCAGTGGAGGTGCATGTGGGAGGCAACCAATCGATGTCTCTCTCACATTGATGTTTCCATTTTGTTTCTCTTCTCTCCTCTCCTCGCCTCTTCTCTCTCTCTCTCTCTCCTCCCTCCCTTCCACTCTCTCTAAAAATCAATGGGAAAAATATCCTCTCCTCAAGTGAGGATTAACAAAAAAGAAAAAAAGAAGAAAAAAAAAAAGCATAGCTAGAGAAGAATATCTGTATGTGGTTGGAGAGAACAGAAATGGCCCAAAAGTATTCCTATAGAAATCCTTTAAATGTTGTCTTTGGCTAGGGTGCAGAAAACTTAAGATTGTTGGTGGGAGTGCAAACTAGCAGATCCTTTCCAGAGGGCAACTGAGCGGTTCATATTTTTAAAAAACCAACA